TTTTTTTTTTTTTTTCGTTACGTCATAATTTTATAGACCAAAAAAAAGGTGGTTTTCCTGAAAGTTTCATTTCAAAATGTGAATTTTAAAAGGTCGCTCATAATTTTTTTTTAATTTACCAGTGACTATTTAATTGGATTAGCATTTTTTGACTCTGAAATTTAAAAAAAATTATGAGCGACCTTTCAAAATTTAAATTTTGAGTTGAAACTTTCAGGAACTTATTTATTTTTGGTCTATAAAATTATGACGTAACGAGAAAAAAAATTTAAAAAAAAAAATTCGATTTTTGAAATTTAAATAAATTTGAAGCGACCTCTTAAAATTTTTTTTTAGCTGTCCTTTGAAAAGAGCTCTTAAAACATCAAAAACCAACATTTTTTCACTCGAGACTAAAAAAAAAAATAGTCGGTTTTTTTGTGCCACCCTAATATGTATATATTTATGTACATATATATGTTTTTTTTATATGTAAGACAATTAACAATTTTCATCAGCTGTCTTACCATACTCTGCACTTTGCTCAGAATGAGTGCAGCATGTTAACAAATAATATAACGGTAATAATAGTATTTATATTTAATTAGAGAAATGTATATATATATATAAATATAAAAAATATACATATACATAGAGTAAAGAATAAATATATACCATTATCTTTGTCATCATTATCCTTTTTGTCTTCTTTTGCTATCAATTCATCGAAATCTTTTTTTTTACTCTTTTTTTTCTTTTTCGTTTTGGAAAAGTCCATATCCAAATCAAGGTTATCATCAGCTGCTACTTCTTCGGTCCTAGATTCCGTTGCATCCTAAATAATTATTTTAAAAATCAAATCATTTTAATTAAATAAAAAATCTCAAGATCTGAAAATTAAATAAATGAAACTTCACCTCTTTCTTATTATCAGACACTGCATTATCTCCATCGTCTAAATTAAAAGTCTTCTTCTTTTTCTTTTTTTTCTTTCCGAAATTTTCCAAATCCAAGGCATCATCATCCTCGGGCAATTGTTGCTCCGGTTCTTGGTTTTCCTTATCGGTAACACCCTCGTTGGCTTCATTCCCACTACCAGCTTCTCCGCTAGCAGCATCCAAATCGAAGGTAGTCTTCTTCTTCTTCTTTTTTTTCTTGAGAGTAGGATCAAATATCTGCCAACACACCGTCAATTAAGTATATATCACACGAAAAATTAATAATCGGAGCCATTGATAAAAAAAAAAATCAAATAAAATTTAATAAATTACTAATTAAATATATTTAATTATTTTTCGGTAGTTACATAATAAAAAGTTTATATATTTTAATGAAAATGAAAATTATTAATAAAATAATGTCAAAAACAAGGTTATAAAAATCAATAGGCACTATAAATCTCAAATCCAATGTTTATATAGCAAAAAAAATAATTGTGTGAAGAAATAATTACTCACCGAATCTTCTTCTTCCATATTTACTAAGATTTAGGATCAAATACTTTGATAATTAATAAACTTATTGAGTTTTATATTTTTAACTAAAAAGCTTGATCCACGATGTCTATTGCATCAGATTCTAAAGACTTGGACTGACTTGTACAATTTGCTATACTAATAATTCGGTGTTTGACACACTGTACACTTGTAATTGTTATACCACTAGATGGCGCTATCGTCTTCAGCGCGTTAATTTAAAATACTTTTATCACTTTATGTAATATTTTTTGTTAAAAGAAGAAATTGTATTTTAACACAAAAGGACATTAAACGTGTTAAGAAGAATATAATTTACAACTTCACTAGGGTAAATGCACCAGTTGTTGACCGGTCACCAATTAGTTGACCGATGTATAAAAAAGTTAATTAAAAAATATTTTACAAGGGTTTTTTTTTTTCTTAAAATATTAAAATAAAAATATATGGCATTTGATCATCATAATAAAGAATAACGTAATTAATTGCGCAGTGATTATAGCTTTAAAAAAATATTCTGAGTTTGTTTACAACGCAACCAGCCATAAAGCGGTCAAAAATAACTACCGTACAATTGGAGAGTGAGTGCATTTCATAATTAATTTAGTGATATTTATCGGCACAATATCAAATATTTTAGTTTTATTATGTTAATTAAAAATCAGATTCCAACTTTTTTGAAAAAATAAAGTTAAATTATAAGTTTCAATATTATTTTAAGATCGGTCAACTATTGGATCCATTCAAAAAGAAATTTTTCCAAAAAAATTAAAAAAAAAATTTTTCCAAAAAAGTTGAATAAAAATTTTTCCAAAAAAATTGAAAAAGAATTTTTCCAAAAAAATTAAAAAAGAATTTTTCCTAAAAAATTAAAAAAGAATTTTTCCAAAAAAATTGAAAAAAAATTTTTTCAAAAAAATCAGAAAGTTTATCCGGTAAAAGAATACTTAAACACTCACGAGTTTTGTTAATAAACAATTAATTAATGGTATCAACTGAAGACTGATGTGATTATATTAAAAATTTTAGGTATTTATATCTTGAGATTATATTGATTAATAAACAGAATATTATTGTGTATCGAAACAATATTATTCTTTGAGGGTATTGTCATAACACAAATAAAAATTTACATATTATTCCAACTGCTTACACACTCTTCAGATAATACAATGTTATTGTTTAAAAAGTTCTTTTAATATTTTATAAAAATACATAGAAATTATAGAGAAAAGTTGTTTTATTTTTAGAAAATATCTGAAAAACAACGGTATGAAATTATTATGGAAAATTTTCACAAAAAAATAAGGAAAATATAGAACATTTAGTTTTTTCGGAAAAGTTCCGGAAAAATAGACAATGTTGTGTAGAATTGGGAAAATTCTATACAACAATTGGGAAAATGAAGTTTGCGAATTTTTTTCAAATGTTTGGAATTTGAATTTGAAATTTAGTCGGAGATTTAGACGGATAAATGGTTAAAATTTTGTCGGGAAATAAGAAAATTTTATGGAAAATTGAGAAAACGAGTTTTCCGAATTTTCGTAGATAATATCGAAATTAAGTTTGATAATTCCGTTGGAAAATTGTAAAAAAAAGCTTGGAAAATTCAGATGTTTTTATGGAAATTCTGTAGTGGAAAATTAAAGTTTTCCGGAAAATTTTAAACTCGAATTTTCCGAATTTTCCCAGAAAACTGAAAAGTAGTAAGCTGGAATTTTTTTACTTAAGATAGAACTAAGTAACTGAAAATATAAAATTCGGAAAATTGATCGGCAAAATCCTGAAGAAAAGCTTGGAAAATTCAAATGAAAATTTCTACGACATGTTTGATTAATCAGGTTAAAGACTCACGTTACAATCTTCGATTAAAATTTTATGATAGAAAATAACAATTTTCCGGAAAATTGAAAATTTGAATTTTCCGATTTTTTTTTTAAACTTTGATGTTAAAAGGTCGAATTTTTTTACGAGGTGGGTAGGGTATTAAATAGCCACATTTTTTAATATTGAAAATACGGGCGGAAAATGCAGATGCTTCCATGAAAATTCTGTAGTGGAAAATTACAGTTTTTCCGGAAAATTGAAAATACACATTTTCTGAATTTTTTTATACAGATGGAATTAAATGATTGAATAAATAAATATTGAAAAGTGGATCGGAAAATTCTGAAGAAAAGTTTGGAAAATTTTTTAAATAATTCAAAGAAAAATTATTGATTAGGGTAAATGCACCAGTTTTTGACCGGTCACCAATTAGTTGACCGATGTATAAAAAAGTTAATTAATTAATATTTTACAAGGATTTTTTTTTTTTTTCTTAAAGTATTAAAATAAAAAAATATGGCATTTAATCATGATAATAAAAAATTACGCAATTAATTGCGCAGTGGTTATAGCTTTAAAAAAATATTCTGAGTTTGTTTACAATGCAACCAGCCATAAAGCGGTCAAAAATATATAACTAGCGTACAATTGGAGAGTGAGTGCATTTCATTATTAATTTAGTGATATTTATCGGCATAATATGAAATATATTTTAGTTTTATTATGTTAATTAAAGATCATATTCCAACTTTTTTGAAAAAATAAAGTTAAATTATGTTTTAATATTATTTTAAGACCGGTCAACTATTGGATCCGTCAGAAGCTCTTTACCCAGTGAAAAATTCATTCGGTCATTTATTAGACCCCCTAATTTTATCACAATTCAATTAATGACCGTATATTTATAATACTAACTTCTTAACTCCAAAATTAAATCTGTCAAGTATTTAAAGTACTTTAGTCATTCGATATTTTGTAAATATAAAAATAATCATTTTAAAATGTATATTTATAATTAAAATAATATTTAAAATCTTTTTTGATTATTAAATTTTATTTTGTTCTAATTTTTTTGGTGAACGGTTATATCAAAGAACGAATTGTTAGAAGAAAAAATTGCTAAGCAATTAAAAAAATCAAAAAGAGTTACAAGCTAGTAAAAAATCTTTAATTGAAAAAAAGAAGGAGAAGAATACAAAAATTTCAAGTGAATTAGAAGAATTATCGTCATCAAAATGAATTTGTGATTATTTTTGACCTAAAGAAATGTGACTTATTATGTAAATTATTGCTATTTATATTATTTTATTAAAAAGTACGATTTAAAATTATATTGTGTGTTTAGTTTTGTTAAAGATGTCGTTAATACTTTAAAACTACTGCATATATTTAATTACATATATGTAGTTTACAAAATTACTTATAATTATTTGAACGGTCAATTAATTGGAGAACGGTCGGTCATTTATTGGGTTTCTTCGGTCAATAATTGGTGATTTTAGTATTTCAAGATTCAAATAACAAAATTAATATAATTTTGTTAATTTTTATTATAAATAGTTATTAATTATCATTAATTAAGTATTTAACTTTAATAAAATCCATTACAAATTGTTTTTAGTAGGTTAATAGATTTTTTATAGCTTAGTACAGAAAAAGAAAACCTTAATTGGTCAATAATTGGTGCATTTACCCTAAAATTTCAGGGAAGAAATAGAAAAAAAATTTATAAAAGAAATAAATTTTTTTAAACAAATAATATAAACTTAAAAAATTCAAGAAGAAATGACTGTAAATTCAATCAAAGCTTATCTAAATATTTTGTAAAATTTATAATTATAATCATAATTTAATACATAATGATTATCAGGAAAAAAGCAAAAACCGTGACATACTTATATATGTATATGACATCATTGATAATAGTAATAGTATAGTAGGAACGTAGACATGCGGACATGCGCGCATGTGAACCCGTGGAGGCGTGTATAATAGTATAATATTCGCACTTGTGGCTCAGTCGACGAATATAGAACGTATATTATATCTCTAATTAATTCTACGCACAATGTTTAATATTTAAATTCTATACATATATTTTATACAAACTTTTAAGTTATATTTTGACAATTGCCGATTTTTATTTTTATTTTTATTCAACTGGAACTAATGAATCATCAACAAAACATCAGTTACATAAATGTGTGATGAATGATAATATAAAAAAATGCGATAAAACTGTAACCTGGATAATCGTTAGTTGTTATTGAAAAGAAGTTAAATGGGTCTCAATGATTTTAGGATTGTCTTTGACAATCCTTGGAGTACATATTATCCTGGACAAACGGTCACTGGTCGAGTGATCGTTGTCTTGGATGCTGTAAAAAAAGTTCGAGGTAAATTACAATTAAAATTTGTAATAATTTTTGTAACTAATTATTATAATTTACACTAACAGGTATTACTGTCAAAGTAAAAGGAGAAGCTAATGTTTGCTGGGCGACTGACAGGCAAGAATTAAACAACGAAGGAAAGTACGATAATGAAACACAGACAGTTACTGGGCATGAAGAATATTTTAATATGGAGTATTACTTACTCGGATCACCTTCAGGTATTTTTTTTTTTTTAATAATATTAACATCAGATATCAGAAATTTGACTTGAATTAATTAATAATAAATATTTTGACAGGCTCAGAAATAGAATTACCTATAGGCGAACATTCGTATCCATTTCAATGTCCACTGCCGCCGAATTTACCCAGCAGTTTTGAGCATGACCACGGATATGTTCGTTATACCGTCAAAGCTTCGATAGACCGTCCTTGGAAATTTGATCACCAAGTTAAAATAGCATTTACTGTTGTGTCTAACTTTGATCTCAACAAAGAAGCTAGAGCACTGGTAATTACTTTTCTTTTTTTTCGGAAATTTAAATCTCTTTCTTTTTCTTCGTGAAATAATAAATAACTTGCAAAACCTTGCAGTCACTATGTGATCTATAAATAAATAAAATTTTGCTTAATTAAATAATGACTTTTGTTAAATTGCACTGTACTTTTTTAAATATTGACGTTTTTAAAGATATAAGCTCATCCCGATGTTACACTCATCGAGACTTTTCATTTGAGTACCCACATCAATTTTTCATATATTTTTATATATTATATATGAAAATTATATCAAAAATGTATGTGGGTACTCAAATGAAAACTTTTGATGAGTGTAACATCATGATGAGCTTATATTTTTAAAAATATCATAAGTTGACAAAATACAATATAATTTCTTAATTATTGCCATTTTTAAAGATATAAGCTCATCCCGATGTTACACTCCTCAAGACCTTTCATTTGAGTACCCACATCAATTTTTCATATATTTATATATTAAATATATGTATATATGAAAAATATATAAAAATGCATGTGGGTACTCAAATTAAAGCTCTTGATGAGTGTAATGTCGGGATGCGCTTATATCTTTAAAAATGTCAATATTTCACACGAAATTTGTTAAATTGCCCTGTACTTTCTTAACTGTTGACGTTTTCAAAGATATAAGCTCATTCCGATGTTACATTCATCACGAGCTTTCATTTGAGTACCCACATGCATTTTTGATATATTTCTCATATATACATATATATAATATATATAAATATATGAAAAATTGATGTGGATACTCAAATGAAAGCTCTTGATGAGTGTAACATCGGGATGAGCTTATATTTTAAAAAATGTCAATGTTTCACAAAGATTACAAGGTCATTTCTTAATTATTGACATTTTAAAGATATAAGTCATCCTGATGTTACACTCATCG